ATAAATAGGGCTGGCGCTAATTCTAGGACTAGCCCTAAATTGTGCTAGACCTTCTTCGATCTAGCGTTTTTCCCAAGATTAGACAACTTACAATTCCTGACGATTTTAAACTAAGAAGCTGCCAACTACTTTAAGTACCCTCAAGAGTAGATAGGCTTAAAGATCCCCGGAAAAGGTTAAAGATTTTTTCTAAATAATGCAAGTAATTATGTCAATAAACAAGACGTGGCGTAATTTTAGACTAGAATATGAGCAGAAGGACTAAAATTACGTCACGGCTTGTTTATTGGTGGAAAGTTACGATTACTCACGGATAACGGCGGAAATCGCTAACGTTGAAACTTTGGCAGGTAACACCAAACCAAAAGGATATGTTGACAAAATTACTTGCATTATTTTTTTTTTAAAAAAATTTGGACCTTTTCTGGCGACCTTTAAGCTTTGCTTTATACCTGGTTTTGATCCCGGTGATGGGCTATAACAGGAAACGCTGAAGAACTGACCCACATAGAGTAACATAAACCTTATCACTGGATAATCGTAAAAAAGGGGGAAAAACTCTCCTCCGTCGTCCTTAATTTGTTTATATCTTGCGAAAATGTTTTGACAAAATTTGAAATGTAAATAAGTTAAGTTGGAATTTGACCGACGTTTCAAAATTTCCCTTCAGAACAGATTGCTTGCTATGAATGTTATTCATTGTTTGGTTTGGAGATTAAAAAAATTAGATAAATCTGTTTGTTTTTATCATGACATTTATATATCTTACTTTCCTGGATAGTTTAGTAGATTGAGTTCTGTAACATTTGGGTTCTGTATAAATAAATAACGTCTTATCAATATTTTGGCTACACCGCGTCCGGACACAATGCAACTGGTTATCGGTGACATTTTCATCTCAGTCAACCAGTAAAGGTTAAGCTAACCTTCCATTGGCTTTGTATTTTCTATATTGTATAGGAAATAAAATTAAATGAAATGGTGTTTAAACGTCCTACTTTTCTGCATCGGCTAGGCTAATGAAGACGGGGATATACGCCATTCAGTGTGCTATGAGGGACATTTTACCCGGGCAGCGGCGCTACGGCCTACTCATATCGAGTTCCAACAGCCAGTGTTACAAAATGGGACTAGTTGAGAAAATTTTGACCATTTGATTAACCAGTTAGGAATATTGAATAAGTAGGAATATATTCATTGAAAAGACACAATGGTACAGTGACGAAAGTGAAATTCATTTGACACACTACATATTGATTAATGAACATAGCATTTGTTCAGATAATGAATATACGAGTATAAGACCACACAAATTTAATTATGAGATTTGCGTTACCCTCGACATTTTTGTCAGGAGCGGCGGGCGGAAATAAAAATAAAAAATAAAATTTGATCTTGGACGCAAAATATAGCTACCACGACTTGAATTGCAGGGTTCCGAATTCAGGCCCACATCCAGCACACCCGGCCCAGAAAGTCTATTATACCAGCCCATTCCACCGGCCACATACAACATGATCATCATTGCTCCATGACCGGTACAATACCCGCCCTCCCACCATATAATGTTCAGCACAAAAGGCTTTTTTAGACGAATTGGACAAAATTATTTTTTTCATTTCCGACCGGCCCTTCGGGCGATGGGCCAATCCGCCCCTGGTCCCGAGTGGAAGTTAAACGTTACCCCCCCCCTCTCTCTCTCCCCCTCGATGGTTGTATCGATTGGTTGTGTTGTGTAAACGCCGCTTAATAACATTTTATGTACTGCCTTGTAGTTTCCTTCTACCTTTGTTGTCTTGACGGATGATATATTTCGAGGCTATCAAATTTATTTTTGCTGGCAGTTATCTACAAAGAATAAATTTTTCAACTAATTACCCAGACCAAATATTCCTAAATCAAAATATTATGTTACTCTGTCTTGCACTTAAGATTTCGTCTTTTAAAGAAAGTAGAATTATTCGCCTGTTTATCAACATAACTGTTAAATATATAATACTGTCTCGTGCAGAGAAATGAAATTGAATGGGGTTTAACGTCCTGCTGAAGGTGGGCAAGTGCAGGGAAGATTGTTAGGTGTTTTAAAATTAAAGACAAACTGTTTGGCAGACATCAAAAATACAAACAGTATATTTTATCATAGAAAATTCAGAAGCCATGTTCAGCATTCCCCGAAAAGCCTCCAAACAAGACGTTGGGGAGCGGGGAGTGGTTTAAATCAAAGATTAAAGGTCCGATAACTCCGTTAAGAGTTCTTCTGTTATTTACTAGGCATGCATAGATAAACGTCACTGCTGAATAAAACACAGAAACAACAGCATCTAAGAACATAGAACAAACCTCATATTATCACAGCACATACAACCTTTACATAATAAACGGGAAAAAAAATTTAATTAATAGAATACAGACAATCTCAACATACCATAAAAACAGGACACAAATACAGTACAATCTTAACATAACATAGAAAAACAGGACACGAATACAGTACAATCTTAACATAACATAGAAAAACAGGACACGAATACAGTACAATCTTAACATAACATAGAAAAACAGGACACGAATACAGTACAATCTTAACATAACATAGAAAAACAGGACACGAATACAGTACAATCTTAACATAACATAGAAAAACAGGACACGAATACAGTACAATCTTAACATAACATAGAAAAACAGGACACGAATACAGTACAATCTTAACATAACATAGAAAAACAGGACACGAATACAGACAGTCTGAACGACAGACTCACAATACCTGCAGAGAAGTGACTCTGACACAGTGAATAGCCATGATATGCATATTATGACGGTATCTAAACTTCACAGGTCATGAGGTCACATCAACAAACAAATGTAAACACCATCATTATGATCATTATCAACATTACAAGACCCAATGTTACATTGTAAACAATAGCCTTCTTGCAGCCTTTAGGACTTATAATCCGTACAGAACGTCTTATCGCTTCTTCCAATGATTTTTCACAAAAATAACATCATCTACAACTCTAGATTTGACGTCGGCTTATTGGCACTATTTTGTGCTTCGGTCGTGTCTATTTCAGATATACACAATCAATTCTGTTAATGTTTTTAGCGTGGGGATTGACTTAAAAGTTAATTTATTTCATTTCTAAACAAAAATTTAAAACTTTAACGCAATTTAAAAAAAAATAGCCAAATTCTGGCTAGGATTACTGAGCAAGCCATTCACTGTATACGTGCGAAAAAAAAAGCCAGCTACCATTTAATTTTCGTACGTTAGTTACGTACGGAATACAGACAATCTCAACATAGAAAAATCAGCACACTAATGCATAAACCATGCTGTTAGCCACATGCTCCTACCAACATTATAATAAATAGTTATCATGTTCACTATAAATATAAATGACACCTATCTAGACTGATAACGTTAACGACTTACCCTCCTTGCAATGGAATCTTCATATTGCTAGTTAAAACATTTGTTGTAAAGTGATATTATTTTCTTAAAATGTTTGACCAGTCAACAGCTGTCTGGAAGCTAAATGGTTGTTAAAGTAGCAATAATTCTACTTACCCTCCTTGCAATGGAATCTTCATATTGCTAGTTAAAACATTTGTTGTAAAGTGATATTATTTTCTTAAAATGTTTCACCAGTCAACAGCTGTCTGTAAGCTAAATGGTTGTTAAAGTAGCAATAATTCTACTTACCAGAAACATCAGTCAGCTTTGAATCATACTAATTGTTGAATATGCATGTATATTAATTCAGAGAGAGAGAGAGAGAGAGAGAGAGAGAGATAAAACTGAACCATAATTTAGTCCCGAAATGACATAGTTTGTGTCGAGTGGACGTTAAACCACATCTCTCTCTCTCTCTCTCTCTCTCTCTCTCTCTCGCTCTCTTTCTCTGTAAAGTGCGATTTTTTTTGTTGATGTTTCATTTGTGATACATCTAGTTATTTTGTTACCCAAGGCTTTGCATTCGTAAAAATAAAATAAAAAAAATACTTTATATTCTTGTCTGTGAAGTACCGGCATCTTGCTGATGATTGTACCTTGTAAGTTGTTTTGTTGATCAAGATTTTTTAACTGTAAAAGATTCATACAAATGATTGTAAAATGCATCGTGGTATATTATTTCTATCAGAACACTCACTTACCTGTGATTAGGTATTCCATACCGACCATATGTTGGAAAGATAACATACGTACGTCGGTTCATTTTGTGTGAAACGTAGCTGACTATCAATTCGACACTTGGCCTCCCTGGGGATACATTAATGATCTGACCGGTGGTCAAACAAGTTCACGGCTAATACTGCACATCTGCTGAAACTGACCAATGTGTGGTCAGTCGATTAAAAACAAATAAATAAACTCCCGGGTTGTTTAATGTCAACTTGAAGAGTATTGTCAAAATAAACACGTGGCTTTACATATTCTTCTCTATGGAATGCCAGAATAAATATAAAGAGTGTTTAGAAATATATCTGAACGTATTCAACAAATCTCTCGCCGTATTCTATTACCGATAATTATATATATAGATAGATCATATTATATTTATTGATAACATAAAACCATGAGATTTAGAAATTGTAACCTTAGTAACGGTTAGACGCTTTGAATTCTCAAAGGCCCGATGAGTCATATGAATCCCTAGTTTGAAATTGTAATCTATAAAAGGGAGAGAGAGAAATGAGGTTTGACATCCACTCGACACAAACTAGGTCATTTCGGGACTAACATATAGTTCAGTATTATTTCAATATTTCGCTTGCGCGTAGGGGTCTTTAGTAGTGGGAGGAAACCGAAGGACTCGTAGAAAACCCACGAGGTTGCACAGGCGACCCTACTACCCATCACGTGTAATAGTCGACAGATAGTGAACGTATTTTAAGGTGTTAAAGACTAGCCGATGCCCTGCGCCATATGATGGATGAAAATTACGTCATCGTAATGCTTTCAAGTGTTTTTTTTTTTTTTTTTATTTTAGCTGAAGAAATACAAATAGGAAGTAATCTACCAATATGGGTTGGTTTGATGGATACGACTGGTATGACCTTGTCTTCAACTACATTCCCTATATTAATAGCTGAACTGTTACAACAATTATCAATTCAGGGCATGAAAACCGAGTCTGCTGATATATTCCTGGCTGGACATGGAACTTCAGGTACAATGAAATTCGACTGGTATAAAACACCTGCCCTCGGGGTCATTTGAGGGTTTTTTTATTTACAAAAGGAATTCAGCCCCGTCATAGTAACTCGCAGTCCCGATAAATGATTAGAAATGGGGTTTAACGTCCTACTGTTCTGCTCTGGCTGGGCAAATGAAGACAGGCATATGCCATACAGTGTGATATGAGGATAACTTTGACCTGGACAGCGGCACTACGACCTACTCTTATATCTGGCTCCAACTTTCAATGTTTCTTTTACGTGCACGCCAATGTATACACGCAGCCTCATTGTTTCGTACCATCCGAACGACTATACCTTGTCAGGTTCTCTTCCCTGCACCACTAACAAACAGGAACCACGTCAGTCCCAATAACTGAGAAGATGTCATTGTTGGTTGATATTTTCACAGGTTTCGTATCCCTGCATTGGCCGAGAAAGTTCATCCAGATTTTCCGGCGTGGTTCCCCCTTGTCAGTGATGCAGGACGGAGGGCCTGACAAGGACAGCTGTCTAGTCCTTCGGATGAGACGAAAAACCGAGGTTCCGTGTATGTATTAGAATGCACGTAAAAGATCCCCTGGCAGTTGGAATTCGATATAAGAGTTGCCGCTGCCGGGGCAACATTTCCCTCATAGCACACTGTATGGCGTATGCCCGTCTTCATTAGCCCAGTATAGGAGAACAGTAGGACGTTAAATCCCATTTCATTTCATTTCACAGGTTTCGTATGAGAACGATTACTTTCCATTTGAGAGGAGGTGCAACAACTTCAGGAGCCGAAGCACACTGATCAGCAGTGAATATTCGCTAGTCCGCTACAGTCACTGATAGAGATGACATCAATGCAACTATGAGCCCCATATATTAGAATTTTTCTTTCTGCAAATTAAATTCTAGAACATGTTTTTAAGCATTAAAAAAATAAATAAAGGTGTTTCAAGTATATGTAGGTAAAAATATTTCCTATTTAGTGTAAATGGGTGTGTAAAATGAGTAAAACGCACCATTCTGCCTGGACCAGTAACGTCTTATGTAAACAATGAACGCATGATCGTGCCATTAAGCAAATGATTGACGTCGCGTGATGTGACGCCACATCTTTTACAGAGCTATTAGTCTTCGCAAGACCTGTGTGAAACAGAATTGAGCCGAACGTGCTATATCACCACCTTCACTGTGTCCCCGCTCTCCTCAACCTTGACCTTAGCTCTTCCTGTACCTAGACTGAATTCGTTAGCTGTATGAATGTTAAATTATATTAACAATCAGTAATTTGTAGAAATCACTCTGTCATGTTTTTGTCAGTCAACATTTGGATGGGTCTGAGATAGGTGTCTTGACCGTTGGTATTACTCCGGACTTAAACGTTTACACTTCAAGGATACAGTTAGATTAATTAAACATTGTATTAAACAAAATTTGACTATTACTGCTGTATTAAAACCCACCAGTTAGAAAAGGACAATTTAGAAAGATGTTTTTTTTTTTTAAATCCTAGGTTTGTTGGCAGCCGAGTTTGCCTTATCACATCCTGACCTACAAAGTGGTGTAATCTTAATGGGTTCAGTTCTACCTGTAGGACAGTCAGTGTCTACCTTTCCTCTACCTGTCCTGACTCTCTCAGGTGAATTAGATGGGGTAACTAGAATAACAAATGTTGCTAACTTTTATAGGTAAGTTCATCGGTACAAAATCTTAAATCACAGAATTGGAATGGGGTTTAACGTCCTACTGTTCTTCATCGACTGGTCTAATGAAGACGGGCATACGCCATACAGTTTGTTATGAGGGAAAGTTTGCCCGGGCAGTGCTGCTACGGCCTAATGAAGACGGGTATACGCCATGCAGTGTGCTATGGGGGAAATCTTGCCCTTCTCTTATTTCCACTTCCAACTGTCAAGGGTTCGTGTTTGTGCACGCCAATGTGTACACGGGACCTCGTGTTTGTCCCATCGGAACGACTATACGTTGTTCCTTGCCAGGCCCTCCGTTCTGCGCCACTGACAAAGGGAACCACGCCGAAAAATCACGCTGAAATTAATCGTTCAACCCCGGGTTCGAACCACATCTTACCGAGCCACAGCGGCTCCCACATAACTAGAACAAGTGATTGTTGTACCATATAATTGTTCTAATTTTGTTCATTGGGGCAAAACCTTAATTCACTAATTTTGGGAGGTCTTCGCCGGTTGGCAAAAAAATAAAAAAATAAAAATAAATTTAGGAATTCAGCAGGATAATATTCAAACTGGATTTGTGTGCATACTTGTATGAAAGTTTTAGCTATTAACTTTATTATCGTTAAAATGCATTTAGGACTTGTTAAGGGTAAGAGTACCCTCATTGAAACGTTGCATTTAATAAACCTACTTATTGTTATCCATAAAGGTGTCTGTTATTATTAATTTTATTGTTATTCTCATACCAATTGTTTTGCTCGATTTCAAGGAGTTTGACGAACCCCAGTGACACATAGGTTTGCTCCTTTATTTTCGATCTATTGTGTGACAGATAATGGGATGCCCAGGGGTACTAGTATTTAATTCTGGACGTAAACCCGAGGAACTCGGGAAAGGGCCATGACGTTATGGACAGGCGACACCTCCATGTAGAATATGCATTTATCTAATGTTATTGGGAAGTAAATATTAATTCTCCCTTTACACTGCTAGTGTCGTGTATGATTCTGAATCTATGGTCTTTCTAGATTCAGGATCTTGTACTCTGTTTTCTACCGATTTGAAATCCGAAACCAGGTAAATTATTCCGTGAACTCGCCTTTTGGTTTGGTGGTCACTCACAGGTCAACGACAGGTCATGTTATGTCGATATTCCGTGAAACTGCAAAACTATTTGCTTGTGACTCTAACAAATCTGGAAAGAGAATCTAGATTTGTACTGTACTCAATGAAACACCGCCCCAAATCCATAGCTAGGTAAATCCAAACCGCAGTTGCCATTCACATGTCAACAACAGACGATGTCCTATTTCCATGAGAAAAAAAATGTAAAACTGCTTGTTTGTGATTCAAATTCGACACGAAAATCAAATTGTATTTGCAAGGCCCTCACAAGCCAATGTGGAGCGCCAGGGCAAAAGTTTCAATGACGCCTGCATACTGTAACTGCTATGGCAGTGCCTGCGCTCCGTTGACTTTTTATGATTAAAGAAATTTTGAAATACAATTTTTTTTATACTTTTAACACTTTATCTAAATAACTATTTATTAAATCAACTTATATAATTGTAAACGGATTTGTATGTAAGAATCCGTCATACTAAGTAAAGGGAGATAATCCCTTATAATTACCAGGGTGCAGACTACCATTATTTTTCCAATGTGGTTACTTCTGGTTTCTTTGCCCGGATCCAATACTTTCCCAAATTTCTTTGTGATGAAGGCTTTCCAATACAGACACTTGAACAACTTGTCCTGTCTTTGCTCCAAAGTTTGCATGAGGTTGACCACTGAAATTATGAGATTGACAAAACTGAAAGTAGCATACTATAAACATGTACATATCCACAGTACAATATTCGCCGTAATCAACACCTTAAAACTATTATCCTAAACAATAAATAATTACCAAAACTGGCAGAAAATGTTAATTAAAACCCACTTCACCGATCTGGGACCACAAAATCAACAAAAATGGCTAGTGGTGGTATTGGGTAGCATTGGTTAAATCGTCCCGCACATGCAAAGGGAGACAGACTAATATTAGAAGGAACTATTTACCTTTTTCTTACTTTTAACTTTTATGGACCGTAAGCGGCATTATTTACAATTTTCTTCTTCAGGGAATTCGCTCGTGACATATCTCAAGAACCATCCTTCATTCACCACAGCCCCTTAATCCTCCTCCAAGGTTGCAACCACGCCCTTTTCTCTGATGGTGAACTGCCTGACGAGATGTTAGATCGAGATATTAAGTCGGAAGTCAATGATGACGATGCTAGGATGCTGGTTGCTAATTATACTGTGAGATTTATTGGAACGGTGACTGCACAGCCAGGCTACAGGAATGTGTCTAAAACAATGTTCCAGTCAGCTTATAAAACAGCGTCTTCAATGTTACAGGTATCACAAAATTAAAAGATGTCGCATTATATTTATATACTAGAACCATAATTATATTATAATAATTCATGGGGTTTTCCCTTTCATGAATATCATTGTAAAGTATGGGTTTTTCCATTTTTATGAATATGATAGAAAGATCCATAAACTAAAAATGTTTGAGTTTTCCATTAACAACAAAACCAGTCGTTTTTAAAACAAAACAAATAACAAGGAGTGAATAAACTAGCTACGATTTTTAAGAAGCCATCTCGCGCGTATTTCCCTATATTTCCCGGAGAAAACCCACAAGGTTGGACAAAGCGACCCAACGACAACCGGGGAATCGTGCACATGTTAACCATTCGGCAAACGAATTCATCTAAAGTAATCTATTATATGTTTCAAAATACATTAGCTAAATATAAATCTTTATTGTATCAGCCAATGAAATATTGTGAAATATTAACGAGTTCATCTAAAGAAAGCTACATTTAATTAGCTAAATATACAATCTTTATTATTTCAGCCAATCGTTGATATCCTAGCATTAACCGAAAACGAGGCTTTAGGGTCAGATTGGGTTGGTATTGTTCAGAAATGGTTGTCTGGCCTCAGTCCGCCAGATTTAAAAAGAATATCGGTAAGATTGATTCAATTTGGTTAATTTAATAGCATGCCTCAACCTCTTGTTATAACACCACGTGTGCCATGTAGTTGAAGTGCTTTAAGGGAGTTAAAATTCTGACTCAATATTTTCCATAATATTCGAAATTAAAATCACGAAACAGAATTCAATATTGGTTCATTTCAATCCATAATGAACATTTTATAATTTGTACACGAAATTACAATACATTTTTTAATAATTGAATTCATATTACATTAATAAATAATATGTGCTTTTAGACCCACGTGCGTCTACTTTAAGGTGACAAAGAATAAAGCTATCGAAACACCCTTTAAGTGGCGGTCTATAATATCACGTGTGCCACAGTTGTGTCACCGAACCAACTGGGACCACGATCCCAGGATGTTCTCTCTATACGCCATATCCTGTAGTATAAAATCTTGTTAGCCAAGATGTCTTTTTCATAAAGGAGAGAGATAAAAATGGGGTTTAATGTCCACTCGACACAAACTAGGTTATTTCGGGACTAACATGGTTCCATTTCCAATTTCAATAATTCGCTGGCGCGTAGGGGTCTTTAGCAGTTGGAGTAAATCGGAGAATCCGGAAATAACCCACGAGGTTGAATCCTTCATAAAGGAACACGTCATGCATGTAGTCCATATTGCTGTAGAGATTCAAGTTTATGTCAACACGGTTCTACACTTTCAGGTTGAAAGCTACGTCCTAGAGGACGCCACATCTATTCCCCCGTCATTAATGGATGCCGGGGAGAGAACGACCATTGTTACCTTTTCCCAGATATATCGACCATCAAGAACGTCGGAGGAGATCGCAGCTCGAATGATCGGACCAGAGAGGATTAGCCAGCAACTAGGAAACACCAGTATTGTAGAAAAATATAATTGTAAAGATTTAAATTACGTAAGAATTCATTTATCCCCTTGATTTAAAGCGACAATAAATCAGAATAATTTGTAGTCATACATCTGCTTTTAATTATACTATTTGTTGAAAATGTGTATTAAACATACATTATGCAAGAGCTAAATCTGCATATTGCAGATATTTTTTTTAGGGCTTAAATGTTATATAAACTATTAATTGGACATTGTAATTTATCCAAATCATAATCAACTCTCGATGTGTCGGATTTTCACTGGATTTGAATTCGATCTGCTGCTCAACGCTGATTGATGATTAAATCCAAAAATGGATAATCGAGACTGATTTTTATCGTACCGACTTAAGTAATGATGATCGAGGCTAGGCTTAAAATTCTAAAGCTAATACTTCGGTTCATAGTGGAGCAATTTGACTGAAATTTTTAACATCGTCTATTTACGTTATCAATTGTTTAAAGATATATTATGAGAGATTCGATAACGAGTTGGCAGTTCTGACCATAATAGTGGAAAACTAGATAATGTAAAGGCAATTTGCTGAACATTTCATTCAAATTGATCCACCATGAACCGAGAACTAAGCGTTTGAAGCATAGTCTCGATTATCCATTTAATCGTTAAATCGTGAAGGAAAGTTATGCAGTAAATCGGCTCATAATCCACTTAAGATCGCTGGCATCTAGAGTTGATTATGGTCTGGATAGGAGGTTAATTAATGTCTAATTAACAATTTAGATAACATTTCAGGCCTTAAGAAAGACCTGCAATAGACAGATTTAGCTCTTGCATAATGTATGTTTAACTAGTATAGCGACGACAGTCAACTCTTTATCTAATCTCCTATAAGTATCTTTAATTTACAAATTCTAACAGTGTACTTGAATAATGCCAATTGTTTATATCATCCATTACTGTACAACCCTTACTATTGTAGTCAAGCAAATAACTAAGTGGGGTTTCCAAACGGGTTTTGTCTAATCTAAGAATAGTTGAGGAAAATATCTTGTCAGTTAAGGCTGTAATTTCAATATTAAACCGGAAATTCCTGGTTAAGGTGAGGCGCGAGGGAATGTCTGACATGCGCAACCGACCCGATCATATAGTCTTAGAAACGAAACGAAATACACAATAAAAGAACATAATAACTAAGCCTCTCAAGGCATTCAATGGAGGTATGCGCTGAATACCATCCCGATCATTTGATAGATATATGTCAGTGCTCTGCGTAATATGTAGAATGCGTGAAGGACAAATGAGATGCGACAGAACACAAATGTAAAATGTGATGAGGAAAATGCAAAATGTATACAGGTACCCCCCTCCCCCCCAAAAAAACAGCATTTTCCAATAAAACATTTGACAAATTGCATGTGACGCTTCACATCTAACTTTGTCCTTAGAGGTATTTTGACTTCATCATTACCGGTATTAAGATGTTGCACTTTGCACTTTTTACACATATTCAATGGAAACGACATTTTAGCAGAGCATTTAATATTGGCCGCGATACCCTTCCATAAATTTCAAATCAATTCAGCTGTTACATATCTGATCAATTGTGTTTAATTTAAAAGGATTAAAAAACGAAAATGAATGGTTATCACATGCCAATGATCTGCTATATATTTTGTTTAATTTCAGGCATCTTTTCTGACGGCATATCACATGGCATCAGCGATGGCGCGGGAAAGATATGATAATTATCATAAAGGTATTATATTCCATGATGATCTGCTAATGCAGAGTGACGCAGCCTGGGAACAAAGTCAGTTATTAGTGGAGACAATAGAACACGAACTTCACGTGACTGCCCCTAATTATCAGACGCCTGTTAGTGATGTTCTTGGGGAATGGAATGGGATATTCTTCTGTAAATTGTTACCTTTAGATAAAGCTTTAGAATGGATTTATGTAGACTCGTTACAAATCAAAAATCAAAATCAAGGGGGGTAACTGATGAACATCGAGACTGGTTGACCATGTAAACATATGTGAATAAACTCGTGTTCTAGAAAGTCCCGTTTTACAGGATAACAGACTAATTCGTGTGTTACAAGTCTAGGAAAGTAACAATTGTTTGAAGCTATATATACATCATGATATGCTCGCCACTGGCCTTATTGTTATAAGACGTTCAAACCATAGATTCACTACAGCCATCCGGATTATATCCTTATCAGGATACTAGTAAATACCAAGATGTCACTAAAGACATCCGGATTATATTATTATTATCAGGATAAATACCAAGATGTCACTAAAGACATCCGGATTATATTATTAAAAGGATAAATACCAAGATGTCACTAACGACATCCGGATTATATTATTATTAGTATGATTACCTGGATTTAAGGCGTGGAACCTAACAAGTGAATACGGAGACAGATTGTCATTTAAATTTTTAATTTCACCATCTCGGTACAAAAATATAGTTCGTATATGTTTAGAAATTCAACTCACCCCATCCCCGCTGTGCATGACCATTTTTGTTGTTTGGTCTAGAAGGGAAGAAGATGATTTTAATTAACATGTCCTGCCACATTTTGGTAATTATTTATGATTTAGATGCGGAAGGATAGCAAAGTTAATGGTTTGGTTCTGGTGATTATGTACGGTGGGTTGTAGCAGCGGGATACCGTAGTAAAAGTAACCACAATGTGGTTGCTAATAAACTATCCAAAAGAGATTACACAACTGTCAACAAACATTGCACATGATATCTACACTGTACTAAAAGCGGTGTGGTTTTACGCTGTGATTGTAGTTAATTCTGTATAATAAAATTCCAATTTAGCCACAGGTTTGTCATTGAGCTTTGTGTCAAGTGGTGTGGTTTCATTCCCAGTCTTGTGTACGTGACAATGAATAGCGTCGCTCGAAGCGAGTGGACGGTAAACCTCCTTATAGATTCCTCTCAATATTATGACCCACTTAATTGTTTAAATCCTACTATATATATACCCTTCAAAAGAGTAAGGGATATTCAGAAACAATACAAAACTGCGGAAATGCACTGCTGTTTTTATTGGAAGTAACCGGTGTATGTTAATAACAGGCCAATTGCCTACACATGAACATAAACAGTTCATATGGGCGGATTATCTGACGGCCCCATTTCAATAACAAAGAGATACTGTCAAAGGTGAAAATGAACGTTTTGGATTTTTGTCCTAATAATGAGTAATTGCTCCACCAATTGTCAGACATTCAGCAATTCGTCGTGACATGCTCCTAATCAACCATCCAATAACGATTTGTGGCAATCTGACCCACTCCTCCTGCAGTGCCACGGCCAATTCTTGCAGTGTTGTCGGTTGACGTAGACGTCGACGAACAAGTCTCCCGATCAAATTAAACGTAACACACTAAAGCAAAGATACGTTAAACAGTAAAATATTATGCAAGAACCGATAGGAAAGCAAACATGGATAGGATAAACCAGCAAGCGGCAGTTTTCATCAACACTTCCTTGAAGTGTCAAATTTGACAATGAACCCCTCCCACGTGTATGGCGCACATGCAGCTAAGTGGTTCTGTTGGGGCGACAAGGTCTTCATCTGTTAACATACTCTCAAATCATGTCAAGTATCCACGACTATTTATATCACAACCTGCATATGTATTTCATAATCCCATACTTTTTTGAAGAGTATATTACACTAGCGTTGAACTCCTTGTTAACATAATCCAAAACATATGTGCGATTAACAATACGACTATATCGTAGCCATGGATAGATCGATCGGCTTAAATTGTCCATACTGACCGGCCAATATCTATAAAGTGGCTCTTGAGTAATAATTATGTTTATCCAGGTTTGATAAACTCATGATACAACCCACTACTTTATTTGACCGCATTGATCAGCTAATATACAGAACACAAGTAAGTTCGCATAAATATCATTGTGACACCGTGCATTACACCAAAATTTTCGCATCATCTTCTTATTAGTGAACTGTTAAAGTTCATTGGTGTTAAAACAGCTAATCGTCATTTTAGGGATCAAGCAAATTAGTATTATCAAAGTTGGAGCAATAGCAGCTCAAACATTTGAAAACAATATGGATGTGATCAAAACCCTGTGTCATCTGTCATATTCGCTATAATCTCGTATTAATCTAGGAGTTTATCTACCGTTTATATTTTGATTTTCTTTTCTTTTTTAAATGTTCACTAATCAGTGTTAGTACTGGCATGTAATAAGTAATGGAAAAACCTTATGATTACCACATCATTCATATGTTAAAGGGACAACAACACTCTTGCTGGCTTGAAAGCTCCAGAAAATAAATAATATCTCTATCTAAGTACTAGATGTTTAAGTGTCCTACCTGTTGTGTAAATTATCCATTACATCCTATTTTACTTGTCCAGAGGGTTCGAAAATATTTTTAAATCGAAGTTTCATTTGAAAAGGTTTACGTTAGACGTTTCAAACCATTATGTTGAATTTTTCAAAATTTTTAAATAAGGTGTGTTAAGATGAAATTTGTATCATCAATTAATTGAAATATTCTAAAATAGTACGATCTGTTGACCAGAATAAAGATTGGGACATATTATTCAGTTACAACAAGAGTGGTATTGAGCCTTTAAACAATAGTTTTTTTTATTTCAGAGTAGAATAAATATAGTTTTGTGTTTTAACAGGGCTAAGTTGAGAAATAAATAAAATGAAATGGGATTTAATGCACTACTGTTCTGCACCCACTGGACTAATGAAGACGGGTATACGCCATACAGTGTGCTATGGGGGGCATAATGCCCGGACAGCGGGGCTACGACCTTCTCTTATTTGAAATATTTCCAGTCTCTCGAAGTTGCTCGTCGCCAAGTGATAGCGCTTCAAGTTTGATTTGTAATTAATAACGCTGAAACATGACCAATTTAATTACATCGGAAGCCGAATAATAATCAAGTAAGGCCTCATTGGCAATAAAAACGAGGGAAAGTGTTAGAACTAGTGAGTATTGTGAGATGATAGCAGACGAAATGTCTTGAAGACGTGAAAACAAAGATGGCGACTGAAATACCTTTTATATACCATACTATATAAGGTGTAACGGTGATAAAATAACACTTTTTTTTTAAATCGGATAAAAATTGTGGCCTCTATAGGGTCCACAAGCTAAAAACGCGATTTTTCGTACAATCAGGGGCCATAATTCTGGAAGTTACGGTCTGGTATGCGCGAATATCGAAAGGAACCAAGATCTTTGGGTTATAAACTTACATTGCAAGTTTCAACAAAATCGGATAAAAATTGTAACCTCTATAGGGTTCACAACCTTGATATACCATATTTTTACGCTATTTGAGAACGATGGGCCGCCATTTTGTCTGCCAGTTTTCATACAGATCGGATATTTTTTGTCGTTTAAAAGTTCACAAGGTTCAACAAAGTAAAACAAGGGCCATAACTCTAGAACTAATTGACGGAAATTGCTGACATTCATTCAATAGGCTTCTTCACTTCACTAATTTAAATGATGCATATGCATTTCATACAGATTAAGTGATAACTTTTGTCGTTCAAGCGTTCACAAGATTCAACAAAGCTAAATAAGGGCCATGACTATAGATGTAATCAACGGAAATTTGCTGAAACTCAATAGGCTTGTTTGTTTTTCTAATTTAAACGATACATATAAATTTCATACAGATCAGATAATAACTTTTGTCGTTAGAACATTCACAAGGTACAACGAAGTGAAACAAGGGCCATAACTCACGACGTAATTAACGGAAATTGCTGAAATTCAATAGGCTTCTTCGTTGCACTAATTTAAATGATGCATATCAATTTCAAACAGATCGGATGATAACTGTTGTCATTAGAGTGTTCACAAGATTCAACAACGCTAAACAAGGGCCATAACTCTAGATGTAATCAACGGAAATTTGCCGAAACTCAATAGGCTTGTTCGTTTTTCTTATTTAAACGATAAATAAAATTTTCATACTGATCGGTTGATAACTGTTGTCGTTAGATCATTCACAAGGTACAACAAAGTGAAACAAAGGCCATAACTCACGGAGTAATTAACGGAAATTCCTGAAATTCAACAGGCTTCTTCGTTTCATTAATTTAAATGATGCATATCAATTTCAAACAGATCGGATGATAACCGTTGTGATTAGAGCGTTCACAACATTCAACAAAGTGAAACAAGGGTCATAACTATAGATGTAATTAACGGAAATTGATGAAATTCATTAGGCTTCTTTGTTTTACTAATTTTACTGATGCATATAAATTTCATACTGATCGGTTGATAACTTTTTTCGTTACAGCGTTCACAAGGTGCAACAAAGTGAAATAAGGGCCATAACTCCAGAAGAAATTAACGGAAGTTATTGAAAATAAATAGGCTTCATCATCTCACTAATGCATACAACATATATCAATTTCAAAACAATCAGATGATAAATTTAGTCTGTAGTGTTTACAAGAAATTGTGGACGATGGACGGACGGCAATATACACCACATTTCCATGTGGGCATATAAAAAGAGACCTCAATTACTTGCACCCAAATTTCCAAACAATTGATGTAGATACATGCCGTTACACTGGCCTTTAATCGGGAGTCTTTAGCTAAGTATCTGAATCGTTCTTGGAATCATCTGGTAACTGGTTATGATCGGGGAGACCAGACCAAATTTTAAGAAATTTAAGCAGATTGTTTTTTAAAAAGAAAATCAGAAAAAATTATACTGAACAAAATGGCGGATTCTAACCTTACCGATATAGAACACACTATTTGAAAACCGATCAATAGTGCTTCAGATGTATATATTGTAGACCTGGCGTCATCCGAAGACGGGTCATATTGCAACGTAAAAAAACGCACCGAATTACCTTTTTGCCGCTTATTTCAAATTTGTAACTTTTTATATAAATAGCCGTTTGCCGGCGTCAGCACAGATTGGTGATACATGCATATCAAATCCATACTATGTCCCGAAGCACTGACATACTTCTACAAAACATAAAAGCAGTTACCGAACAAAATAAGCCACGCAACTAATTCGCTATATAGCGTATACGGTTGGATAAAGATTGTCAAAAAGGACATACAGCAAGGTAAACTTCGGTTAGGAACTGTTAAGTGTGTTTTAGCAGTAATGGTCGATTAAGAGAGATGGCTCTTTCGACTAAAAACCTAAATCGAAAGAAAGGAAATCCGAGGATCGAATCGATTTTGCAGATAAAGAAATATGGAAAAAATCCAAGAATAAGAAATGTGTTTACTTTCGATCCACTAGATACATATCGAAACCAATTGTTAAGATCTCAACCGCGTTCCAGATCTGGCGACGATGCCTTACATTGAGATGGACAAGTAAAATCGTCTGCTTACAAACGCGTGTACCGTGTTCAGACTTATACACGAGATACTTTCCGACTGCCCACAATTGTATGAATGTATAATAAACCAATGAGTATTTAGGGGAATATTAACCCGAACCCTAAACCTTTTCAGAGAAGTAAAAACTAAATTAGACCCAAGTTCAGTCTTTTAAAAAGGGTTAGGTTTAAGAATTGGGGTTAGTTATCCCCAAAATAGTATTCCCCTAAATACTCATTTGTATAAAGCGGCCATTTTGGTATGAGTTCTGGCTTGTTCTGGAATTTGTTGCTTCTAGTGGTGATAATATTTGTACCGTGCGGTAAGGACTACCAGCCCTCGATAAACTACTAGGTTTTATTACTCAACAAATACGTTCTCGAAGTATGTTAATAAAATCTAATCGGGTGAATTAACATTGTCGGATATCCATTATTTCTAT